AGAGAACATATATGTATATATGTATACATATACATATTTAAATGCAAAGTCACTTATAAGTGCTAATTGCAGAAAAAGCTAATCATTGTACCAAAAGAGAAGTTGTCACAACTGTTTCTTAGTACAAGATCCTTAAGTTTAATGTTGTGGCTTTTTTGGTTAACTCCATTTCATAAAGCCCTGTAACCTTATCTGAAAAGAATACCAAATTAAATATGGCCAGCCCTGTTCTTGATAAAAGTACAGTGGTTCTTAGTGAATTTTAGTTTTTTTAAAGATTACTTCCAGAAGTTTAGCGATCAAATCCATGATTTTTTTTTAACCATGCAAGGACATGCTTATCCAAACCTGGTGACTTGAACTCAATGAGGGCAGCTGAGAACTGGCTCTTTTCCTCCTCACTTACCCTGGCTTACGGTCCCTTTGGTTAACCATTTTTGTTCAAATGGATCCCCAATTCAACCATATTAACCACTATTCCCTAGTAAAAATCCCATCCTATTCATGCATTTTATTGTTTCTATATAGACTGTAATTATTCCTTTCTCCATGCATTTGAACATATTTTTCCTAATCTTTGGAGTATTCCTCCTCCTCCACTCTTTCATGAATTCCTAAGTACTATATGCTATGATTGTTTTTTTCTCAATTCCTTTGGATTTATGGTCTGCACTATAGTCTAATAATGGTATTAATATTCTTTAGTATTTATATAATACTTTAAGGTTTGCAAGGTGCTTTACATATATTATCTCATTTGAGCTTCACAATAATTCTGTGAGGAAGGTGCTAGTCATGGACTATGGTACATAGATAGATTTTCTTTTTTCATAGGCAGAGTTTCATTGTCTTTTATTATGTAATGACTGAAAATGGACTATAAACTTCTAGAGGGCAGGGACTATTTCTTATGCTTGTGTGTCTCTCCTGGTAGTAGTAATCATCATGATAATGATAATAATAACACTAATAGTAGCTAGCATTTGTGTAGTGCTTTAAGGTTTGCAAAACTTATACGTTATCTCATTTTCTCATTTCTGCACAGTACCTAGTACCCAGGGCATCCAGAAAATACTTGGTAGTACTTTTTGATTTCTAACCATCTACTATGGATACCTACACTCTACAATATAGAAATATAAGTAGTTGTAAAACACCTATTCAGTTCATATTCTATAAATCCAGTCCTAATTTTTCTCCCAAGCTTCAGTCTTGCACCATCACCTGCCCTTTGGACATTTTCAGCTCAATATCTCATATACACCTCAAACTTGACACATTTAAAACAATTCATTATTTCTTGCTCCTAGCTGTATTCCCAGATTCTAGACTTAAGAACCAAAATTCTGCTGTGCACTTGCTGTCTCATCATGGAATTTCCCTCAGCACCTAGGACCTCACGGCCCTGAAAAAGTCAATACTCTGCTGCTTTTTCAACACAGACAATCCCTCATTAAGGCCCACCCCTTTTTCCCACTGGTGAGTTTCTCTTAGGAATTCCATTTTGTGGAAAGACCCAGGCTGGTCTACATTCCCCTCTCAGCAACGTTCCTGGCTTTTAGTATTAAAAATCAAGATCCTAGACAGGTAGTGTATCACCACCACCTCCTTTTCAGTGCTGTCTTCTTCCACTAGAATGTAAGCTCTTTTTTTTTTTTAGGCAATTGGGGTTAAGTGACTTGCCCAGGGTCACACAGCTAGTAAGTGTCAAGTGTTTGGTCTGATGCCGGATTTGAACTCAGGTCCTCCTAACTTCAGGCCAGTGCTCTATCCACTGCACCACCTAGCTGCCCCAGAATGTAAGCTCTTTAAGAGTAAGGAATGTTTTTGTATTTGTATTCTTGGAACTTAGCAGAGTGACATATAGTAAGTGTTTAATAAATGCTTGTTTCCTTCCTTCTTTCCTTTTCCCTTCCTCCCAACCCATTACTCTTCTAAACTTTCTTTTTTCTAATGAAGACACCATCATTTTATCACACATTAACAAACCTGGAGTCATCTGTCTCAAATAGCCCTCACCACCATCTCCATTGAATCAGCTACTGCACCATAGTTCAGGCTGTCATCACCTCTTGCCCAGATGACTGCAATTCTTTCCCAGCCTCATCTCTCTCCCCTAATCCACCCTCTACACAGTAATTTTATCAAAGTGCAAGTCTGATCATCATTCTACTCCTCAAAAAACTCTCATGATTCCTTATTACTTCTAGAATCAAATACAAAGTCTTTGATTTGGCTTCTAAAGTCCTCCTTAAATTGGCTCAACTTATCTTTTGAGTATTATTAGATATTATTCTCCTGCATGAACTCTTTGGCTAGCCACACTGACCTTCTTGCTGTTCCTCACACAATTCTCCATCTTCCATTTCTATGCCTAGCATGCCTGAAACACACTCCCTCCTTATCTCTACCTCTTGCAATTCCTAGTTTCCTTCAAATCTCAACACCAAAGGCATGTAAATACATAAGTATCCAAAAGAAATGCAAGATCCTTGAAGGCAAAGATTGTTTCCTTTTTGTATCACTGTGCCTAAAACGTTATTAATAAATGCTTACTAGATTGAAACAAGAACTGAAAAGACTGTAGAAATCAAGCAGTTCCACTCTCTTGTTCTTCAGATTAACTCTAGAACATACTGATGTGTATAGCATTCCACATTTAAAAAAATTAAAGATGGTAATAATGAGTATGAGAAGAATATTGAGAATAAGTACCCTGTCAAGGCTTTTCTCTATTAACTAAGATCTGTGGAAAAGTTATTGTCTCAAAGTTATATAGCAGTAAGTAAAGAATAATACATTTTATTTATCCTTCCATCAAAAGGATGGTACGAGGCTGTTTCCCAAAGTATTATCAAATTGATGTAGCTATATTGACACTAATTTGAGATGTAAAAACCTCCTGACAATCCCATGCTCTGTCATTATTTCAAGAACCCTGGATTGGCTGAAGAAATATGCATATTCTTCTTCCTCTCCTGTTGACTGATCCTTAAGGCAAAAAGCTTACAGACTACACCTGTAAACTGAAGGTATTAAACATCTTAGGTCCATTCCAATTCTAAAATTTTTTAATTCAATGAACACTCGATGACCTAGTACACTGAGTACTCAACATTTCTCTGCCTTGATGAACTAATAGGAAAAAATTTAAACAGATTTACATCACACCAGGTAAGTATGGGCTGATATAAAGTTCGACATGAGTTACTATATAAGCACCACTGAGATATCTGAATGCAACAGTCCATATGGAAGTTACAATACTACATGAATAAGAGTTGTTATTTTCAATTCAGAAGCCTACAATCTAGGGCAAATATGAAATGTGAAGTACAAAAAGGAACAGTTGATGAAGGAAATAAAATTAAACAGGCATGAAAGTGAAGGTACATGGTAGAGATGTTTGGGATGAGGTACCACAAAGTGAAAAACAGGTGAAATGAGTACAGAAAATAGTGAAGACAAAAAAAAACCCCAACATGATGAAAGTCTCAGAAATGAATAGGATGTGAAAAAAAGGGAAGATTCCAGTGTTAGTCTTCTCTCCCCAGTTACATCATAAGATGAAGGGCAGAAAAGATGTCTGATACTTAAAAACAGTTATTAAAGTACAGTGAGTCAGGGCTTCCTCTTCTAGGCTGTCTCAAGGAGACAGCAATTCCTTAGCCAATGCTGAAGAAGTCCTAAGGGTCACATAGCTGAGTCAAACCACCATCAGGCCCTATCTTACCATGGCAAAGACTTCTATCCTATCCTCAAAATGCATACTGTATTTCTGTGATTTTTTCCACCAAACACACCTCTGAAGTTCATATTAACTTAATTTTACCCATATAAAAATTTTAGGGGAGGAAGAATTCACAGGATCATTGATTTAGAACTGAGAGAAATCTTAGCATTCATCAGGTTCAACACATTCACTTTCTACTTATGACAACTAGCTTAACCAAGGTTGGACAGTATTAAGTGGCAGAGATAGCATTTGAACTCCACTACTCTAACTTCAGGTATAGACCTCTTTCCACTGTTACTATGCTGTATCCAAAATCACTTTGTTTTAGCCTTACGTGATATGTCACACTCATGGACAGCTGGCTACATACATTGATCTCAGGCAAAAAATACTTGTGGAACACCTACAATGAGCTTTCTAAAATACTTTTATATACGTTTTAAATACAGAGACAGTTGGATAGAGGGCTAGCTTGAAATCAGGAAGATGCTAAGCCTCTTACTATCTGTGACCTTGACCAAATCACTTAAACTTTGCCTCATTTTTTTTTCCACTGTAAAATGGGAATAATAGTGCCTTCCTTCTAGGGTTGTTGTAGGATCAAATGAAATATTTGTGGAGAACCTTAACAAATGCTTGTTTACATCCTAAATTGAATAAACTGACCACGTACTAGCCTTAATGGTAGTGCTTTCCTTCTTAAATTACCTCCCAATTATCCTGTATCTATCTTGTTTGTAGATAGTTCTTTGCAAACACTATAACGTCTCCCCTATTAGAATGTAAGCTCCTCAACAGCAAGGAACATATTTTTGCCAGGGAGTTTTGTTTTGTTTCTAAATCCCCAGCCTATAGTAACATTTAATAAACGCTTGACTGACTGGCCAGGAGGACAGCAAAAATTATAGTATGTGACAAGTCTAGGGGTGGAAACAAGTGTTATACTGCTTTAAGGTTTGCAAAACGCTTTACAAATATTATCTTATCTTGACAGCAACCTGTGAGATAGGTACTATTATTATCCCCATTTTACAGTTGAGGAAACTGAGGCAGAGATTAAATGACTTGTCCAGGGTCACAGAACTGCCAAATGCCTGGGGCTGGATTTTAACTTTGGTCGTCCTGACTACAAATCCAGCACACTCTCCACTGCGTAACAGGCCATAGGAACACACCGCCCCTCCCCCCCACTTCATTCTCCTCGAAAGCAACGAGACGCTCCTCCCCCATGTCCCCTACTCAGCCTCCAACATCCCCTTCCAACCTGGGCGGCAGCAGAGGCGGACGATACCTGTCCACCACGCCAAACTCACACCCACACCTGGCCGGGGACACACTGAAGCTCAGGCTCCCGCCATGGGTTTAGGAGCGTGGGCCCGCCCCTTGGCGGACGTGACGTCAAAGAGGCGCGGCGAAGGGAAAGGCGGGGGCTGGGGGGGGGGGAAACAACCCCAATCTCGTTTCTGAGAATGTCTTCTGAGACAATTTTCCTTCCTTCTGCCTCACGAATCTGGGGGTTGAGAAAGGCTGGAAAGGAAAAGTCCGCGGTACACCCTAACCACACCTGAGAAAACGCAGGGTGGGGGAGGGTTACTGGCTTCCCGCCCCCATGCCTTCTCCCTTCCCATTGGCCAAAGTCGGCTTGCAGTTCCCATGATGCTCAGCCGAAAGTAAAGGAAGAATAGTGTGCAAGAATATTGCAGGCTATGATGGGAACTGTAGTTTCCCGCTAAGAGGTGTGCGGGAAAGGTGGGGAAACCATCGCTCTTAGCTACTGAAGCCAGGTGTTGAAAACTCGGAGGACCGACGTTCCTAATAAGCTGCCTCTTAGAGCTCAAGGACGTTTCCTCATCTCTAACCGTAATAATCACACGAGCGAAAGACCGTCTTTTCAGACTCTAGGGAACGATTTCTCAATCTAGCCCCGCTACAATCCCAAACCTCAGGGAAAAGGTGGCCTCGTTAACAGGAGAAGGAAAAGCCTTATCACCCAGAGCGACCCAGGGATTGGCCAATGACCGCGTCCCTCAAGCGGAGATCCCTGAAGCCGATTGGTTCTTTTTTTTCTCCGGGACTGAAGTAGGGTTGGCACTTAGCTCGACCGCGGCCAGGGAGGGGCGCAGCAGGGTGGGGGGAGAGAGTAGAAAGGGGCGGGTTCGGAGAACTGATTGGTGGAGGTTGGTGTCTTTCCTCAGCTTTCCGACCAGCAATTGGCCAGCTTCCCCCTGGAGGAGGTGGACGGGGACTAGTGCGTGGTGGTGGTGGGCGGGTCTTCTTTAGCAGCGGTAGCCGCTGGAGCCGGTGTCCGGGGCTGGTGATGGGGTTAATTCTCTCCCGTGTGATTCCCAGTCGCGCCCACCCAACCCCGCTGTCTCCTTGCTGCGCCGCGCTCCGACCGCCTCCTCCTCCTCCTCCTCCTCCTCAGTAACTCGGGTAAGAGACATTTCCACAACCACCCCCGCCACCTCCGCCGCCTCCATCCCCCACTTCAGCTCCCCGGTATACCGCTCCTCCCTCCCCCGCCCGCCAACCCGTCGCTCTAACGGAGAAGGTGTTTGGTTGAGGAGGAGAAGATGGGGGGAGGGGGTGTGTCGCGGGTGGGGGGATGGCCTTCCCAGCTGAGCCGGCCAAGGTCCCAGGGACCCGCCTGCGACCCTGGCCCCCGACCGGCGGGGTTCGAAAGACGCGCCCCCCCCCCCGGCCGCCGAACCTTGGGCTGCCTTCAGCCCTCCCCCCTTCCCCCGGCCCTGGGCCATGTGAAGACCGAGTCCCCATAGGCCTAGTGGAGGAAGCACGGGGGGGAGCGCCGTCTGTGGTGCCTGTGTCCCTGCCATGGCGGCGGCGGCTGCAGCTGCTGTAGTTGCTGCTGCGTCCCCGAGGACTGGGAGAGCAGAAACACCAGGCCCGAGAGACGCCGATCTCTCTGTGGGGGGTCCGTGCCTGTGCACCCCAACTCTCGGGGCCTGGGCAGCAGCGGCCTCTCGGGGCAAGGGGAAGCTTTTTGTTTGTTTCGAAAAAAAAATTTTTTTTTACGTTTAGAGCGAATGGTGAGCCCTTGTCACACTACTTTGAAGGGAAAAAATGTTGACTGTTACACACCACACACACACACACACGCACACGGTCACTCACTCCCTTTTTTTAAGGGGGCAGTGGGACTAGTAGCGAAATCTTTTCTGTTCGTCTTTCTGTCCTGAAGAAGCACTAGGGCAGGTTGGGTATATGTAAGAGCAAGTTGAGCGACGCTGTCAGTGTCAAATACCCCTGGCAAGGGCTTTTCTCCTTCTGGTGATAGTGTGTTTGAAGTTTCATTAACAATGGGGTGTTTGAGGTTGGTTTATTCCCCCCCAAAAAAAAATTCTCTCTGGTCCTTTGACTCAAAGGTGGTTTTCTCTCTGAAGCCAGCTGAGTACAACTACATTAACTTGCCTTTTCTGTGATTGGCTTGTTTTCAAGTTTCTAATAAAAGACAGAAAAGGTGCTTCTCAATGTAAGTTTAGAGCTTTTGGTCAATAGCCATTTAAAAAAAATTTAGGAAAATGAACCTTGTAAAAATTGGCAAATATTGTCAAACTAAAAGCTCATATAAAGTTGGATGGAGTGAAAGTGCAGTATAAAAAAATGATTGTATACCCTTTTCGAAATGCAGGGGGAGAGTAGTTTGTATAATTGAATTTTGCCTTCTCATTGTTATAATAGAATTGTTTGTGTGATTGTATTTTTAATTTGTGGTCTATAATAGCAAATGTTAAGCACCTAATGTGCTAAAGGCTTGTTGCATTTTGACTAATTCCTTTAGTCCCCAGACTGGCGATTGGATGAAGTAGCATTTTCCTTTGGCCTATGGTAGCTATCCTTAGCACCACAGAGGTGGTCTTTGGTGGTCTGTTTTAATTCTAGGACCCCTGTCCTAAGCTTACTTGCTACTAGATTTTTAACACCACCAACTCTTTCTGTAGGCACAACTTGGTTAAGAAAAAAGCTGGTAGATACTCAGTATGCATCAGTGGATGGTTTTTTTGATTAGTTAATCTTTCGATACTTTTAACTACCAATTGCCTTAATTGTGTGTGGGGGGAGTTAATAAACATATGCTGGGATCATCCTACACACTAAGTGGGTTTACACCCATCTAGTGTTTATACTAGCAGAAAGTAACTGGTAGTTTTACTTATAGTGTGACCGTTGAAAAGAAAGTACAGTTTGACTCACAACTTTGTCATTTTTAAAAAGAAAAGTTACATAGGAAATAGATCAGATATCATGAATTTATTTTAGAGAAGATTGAAAGTAACTAATTTGATCTTAGAAAATGCCTTTTGGTACTGATGCTTAGTTCCTTCTGACCACTGAATAACAGTATTAAAACCAAAGTCATTCTCATTAAATTAAATTCAGCCTTAAGAATAAAATGATAACCAAATATTTATAACATCAAGGAACACAGCATTGGAAGGGATTATTTAGTCAAACTGCCTCACTTTATAGTTAAGTGATCATAAAAGGTGACATCTCTATAACATTTTAAGAGTTGTTAAACATTTTACAAATATTATCTCACTTGATCCTTACAACAACCCTGTACTGTAGGTGCTATCATCCACATTTTTTAGTTAAGGAAAGTGAGGCTCTGAGGTGACCAGTGTCACACAGTTAAGTTTCTGAGGCAGTACTCAAACCCAGGTCTTCCTAACTCCAAATGCAATAATCTCTCCGCTCCAGCACAAAACTAAAATTTTAGGAAGTGAGTTGGTCAAAATCATACAGGTAATAAGATTCAAACCTGTTTCCTTTGCCTTCAAATACAGTGCTTTACCAGGATGCCACTAATACAGATTGTTTCAGAAGTCTTAGTGCACTTGTAATCTATTAAATCTTAATGTGCAAGGCATTTTCTGAATGACTTTGAGGCTTGCAAAGATCATAGGTCACTTCTGCTCTTCAAGAGCTTTTTTTCTAAGAGCCATTTATAGGTGGAATAACAATAATAGAAGACATAGTGGGCTATGATAACTTCACTACAGTAATATTTCTAATTCCTGTTTAGGTTAAAGATTGTATCTATTGATTTCAGCAGTCATACTGTAACAATTTTATATTCTTGTCCAGTACATCATGTTACAGACAAAGTAGGAAGGTGAGCCACTAATTTAGGCAAATCTAAATATATATTCAAAATAATTCATTTCAGAAGCATGAACAAAATATTGCCAACTTTGCGGAAGTTGAGTATTGCGTTTTTTAGGTATAGTTCTAGTATGTCATGCCTATAGGTTATTTATTATTATTGTTAAAACCATAATTATCAAATGTGTAAGAAAACACAAAAAACATACCAAAGTTATAGCTTTTTTTCTCCAGACATTCTGAACAATCAGTTTTCAACCTTTACTGAAGCCTTATTATAAAGGTATTGTTAGGATAACTGCCAGCTGGACTATGGTAGATGTGAAACTCTTCTAATGAGTCCTTTTTGGTACTCAAAGTAATTCCTTTGGACAGTGTCTGGATCCTGTGCTGTAGCAGGTGGTAGTCTCTTTCATGTCCAGTCCAGTCCCGCCCCCTTATAGTTGAATGGTCTATTAGACAGATTTTTAATATGATAGTAGCAGTTCAGAATACCTATTTGTACTGAAATAAACTTTCATAATTTTTGGAGGGGAAAGTGTTTCCTTTACTAGCACTTGTGAATACCCTTTTTGGTAAATGTTGAGCTCAAGTCCTTTAGTGTTATAGCTGTAATAGTTAACAGTCTTTGCCAGGTAATAATATTATGAATACTTACATATTAAAAGCCTTTTAAAATGTTGACTTTTTTATGGTGTCACTAAAATAACAGTAATCACTATTCGTCAACTCTTTCAGGGGAAGCTTCTAGGCAGATCTTTTATCTTTGTTGCAAATAGTTCTGGGTATTGCAAGAAATTACAAATCATAGAACAATATACCTCATCTTTAGAATGACACCTGTACATGTGAATAACTGTTAAGTTGTTTCATTAGCAAGGATTTGTGTCAGTTCTTTGGTAGCTGCCTTTTAAAATAAACATTTAATTCTAGTGAATTCTAACTTTTTAAAAAATATGTTCAAATAACCTGTGTAATTAAGTCAGTAGATTATTGTCAGACTGTATTTTTTATGGAAGTGAATTTTACCTATACCTAAATCATTTTTTTTAACAAAAGTAATTAAATTAGAAAATTGGCTCAGAGAATTGAGCAAAGTGGTTAATTATTTAATTCTGTTTCAAAGTCATTTCCTCTTCTCCTATTCCAAAAGCCTCTTCTCTCCATCCCATGTTTTGTCCCTTAGTGTTCTGGCTCTTTCCCCTTGCAAGCCAGTCTTATTTTTGCCATCCACTAATTTTCCATCTTCTTCCTTCCTGCCAGTTTCTA